CTCTTTCCCTACTCAGTAAAATCTGTAGTTACTGAATCACTAGTTACTGAATCAAATCTGTTTTCACTATTTTAAGTAATAGCTGACTGTTGATCTTTGACACCTCCACGTGGGAGAAATCCCCATTCTTGGGACTAACCTCCACTGCTATGCAAATAGAGTTCTGGATGGGATTCAGAGGTTTCTATATTGCCTGTCTTCATTTAAGGCTACACATAGCCAGTCTGAGAGGTCTGATAGATGAATGAAGAACATCTCCCATGGCATTGCCAAATTTTCTCTTCCAAGCTACTTGAATTACAGTAGTTAAATATATGTAGTTGGGCAAATGAGCATGTACCTCTGACAAGATTATTCAATCTGCCTGAGTCTCTACATCTAGTGCCAGAAAAGTGAAGGCAGAGGGGCTTTTGTCTTTTTATTCCAGGGACAGAGGTAACAGGGAAGAAGAGGGAAAGATGACTTTCAAGCACATGCACCTTTTTTGTGGGGAGGGGGTGGAGAAAGGCATGGGCACCACAAGACCATAGAAATTAGAGGGCAGGTAAGGGGTTGAGTGGGGATGGGGGGTAAAAAGGACTCAAAAGTATAAAAGGTGGAAATACAAAAGGATAGCGAAGATGACATAATTACTTTTTTCCTTTTTCACATTTTTCCTTTTGTCTTAGTCCCACTGTTTACTTTTTTCCCAAAATCTTTTTTTTTTTTTTTAAGATGTATTTTTTATCTATAAAATGTCTGGAGTACAGGCCAGAGGCACAGGAGGGTGAAATGATTCACCAGAGACAGTGGGGGGGGAACAGAACAGGCAGACAGATCGAAAGCACTGCTGAGGGGAGCAGCGGGTGCGCCAGGAGAGGTCTGCCACTCCATGTGGAATCTCCCTGGCCGGCCGGGAATTGAACCCACACTGCAGAGGCTGTGGACAGCCTCAATGCTGTGCTCAACCTGCTGTGCCACAGGGGAGGCCCTTTTTCCAAAATCTTAACATAAAACATTTCTGCATTGTATTTTCTTTACCCTGTCATTAGTCACCCCCACCCCCAAAAGGCTACTATTGTTTTACTTCTGATTATTCTGGCTACCCCCAAATGTAAATAAAAGGAGGGTGCTAGAAATTAGTCACTTAATATCTTTGGGTCTCAGGTTAGCCTTGAGAGTTTTGGATTGGATTCATAATTAAGCAAATGTTTATTAAAGGAGTATTATGTACAAAGTACTGTTTATTTCTAGTGAAACAGCATGTTACCTCCTGAAGCTTATATTCTAGTGAAAGGGACATCCAATACACAAATAAAGTGTGAAATAACTAAGATAGAGCATAAAAGAAGTGGTCCTTATATGGTTGTCAGACAGGTTTTCATGAGACAGGTGAGCTGGGGTATCATGAAGATGTGAATGAGGTGAGGAAGTGAGCATGTGTGATAGCACTCTAAGCTGAGGGAACATTCAGGGCAGATGGAACTGCAAGTGCAAAGGCTGGAGCACGGGAATTGTCAGTGTATTTGGGCAACAGCAAGAGGACCCCATTGAGAGATTTGAAGAAACAATTTGGTGCCAGATCATGTAGGGTCTTGCAGACCACAGAAAGGACTCCAGAATTTTTTTTCTAATCATTCTGAAAAATCATTGACTGAGAGCAGAATATATTGTTACTAGTAAAAATAATAGTTAATATTTACATAGCACTTTTATGAGAGTCCCTGTCCCAAGTAACTCATTTATTCTTCCAACCCTCTGATGTAGGTATTATTATTGATAATTGTTATTATTTCATAGATGATGGAGCTGAGGCACAACAAATTAAGTGATTTGTTTGGGTCATGTAAATATATTATAAAATTCAAACTTGAGTCCAATGTCCTTGCTTTTGATGACTAGTTTGTATTTATTCTGATTTCTATTTATAAGGATCACTCTGACATGTGAGGAGTAGAGTCTGGGGCAAGAATTTGCAGGAATAAGCAGAGAGAACAATGAGATAGAGTGAATAATAATTTGAACAATGGTGGTTGTGGTGGTGGAAAAAAACAATGGTCAAATTTGTGATATGCTCTGCATGTAGAGGAAACAAAAATTTGCTGATGGAATGTGTATCAGCTGTGAGAGAAGAGAAGGGCCAGTAATGAATCCAAAGTGTTGGCCTGAGCAACTAGGAAAAAAATGGGAACAATAGGTGAGGAGGTGACTTGTTGAAGGTGAGAAACAAAGATTATTTTAAACATGAAATGTTTCAAATATATAGGAAACACCTAAGAAGAGATAGGAAGAAAGAAATAGGTAAATAGAACCTGGGGTTTAGACTGTTGATTTAAATTCACAGGTCTTTATCATACAGAAGATTGCGAAAGTAATGTGTCTGGATGAGATCTCTTAGGGAGGGAAAAATAATCACACCCAGAACTGAGCCCTGAAACACTTTAACCCTCAGAGATCATGAAGGGATAAAAGATTAAACAAGAGTCTGGAATGGAGCAGCTGATGAAATTGATAGAAAATAGTCAAAGAAGCAGGAATGTGAAGAAAACTAATCTACTATGTCTAGTGCTGTGAATAGGTTAAGGTAAGATGAAGAACAAGAATTGACCATAAATTTTTCAGAGTGGAGGTGATTCTATAACTTGACTATGGACTGTTAGAAACAAAAGCCTGATCAAATTGGACTATAGGGATTAACAAAATTCTGAGGCTTCCAGCTATGCAAAATGATTTAAAGATGACCTAGAAGAAAGATAGAGGGTAGTAACAGAAAAGAGGGTAATAACAGCTTTCCAAATACTTCAATTTCAAAATGTTTTATCGAGTACCTCCTACACACCTAGCATTGTTAGTCTCCGGAACCAATGAATTTGCAGCCTCATTCATTCATTTATGTGATAATTTTTCATCGAATTCCTAGTCTGTGAGTTTTAACACTGTTTTCCTGCTTGTTATAATATTTTAAAGTTAAAGAAAAATTTCAAAATTGTAAAAGTTTGTCTATACTCCAATATCACTAACATTAACATTTTTACGTTTGTTTCAACTGCTGTCCATATGTTTACATAGCTTTTATTTAACTGTATTAATTATATAGTGAGCCTTTCCTTCATAGACATATTTTCATAACACATTAACTATGACAGCAAATACTTTATTGTGTGAATATACATGTCGGTTACCTGATCATTTCCATTTCCAATTATGTTGTCTTTAGATTACAAAATATAATTCTATGATTACTATTCCATATGCCTCTCATCTTCATTAAACTCTGAATAGCTCCTGAAAGACCAATATTCTATCTGGTTTAATTCTGAGTAACCAGCACATGCTTGTCTTTTAGGAATCATTTAAGACTATAGAACAGAGTGGTTAAGAGCAGGAGGGCTGACTGTCTCAGTTCTCATCTTGTATTCTCCACTTGCAGGTTTGTAGCCTTGGGCAAAATACAACTTCTTTATACCTCATCCATAAATTGGAAATAATAATAGTACCTTCCAGGTTGTTGTGAGAATTAAATGAGTTAATATATGCAAACTGCTTGCTACATTGTAAGCATACGTAAGTGCTTGGTAAGTGTAGTACATAAGAAAACAGTCAATGCTTTTGAATATATTTCATGAATGACTAATAAATCAAAGAATCGTTTTACCTTTTTGCTTCATTGAGATCGTTTCAAAATTCTTTTGGATTATTTCCTTTTTGGTTCAGTAACAATGTTGTGGGCACATACATACTATGTGCCAGATATGCAGAGATGAATAATCATTTCTTGGGACTAATTTTCGTGAGTGCTATCAGTAAATGGAATAACATGCACATTCCCACAGCTTCAATTACACTATTACTTCACTGTGGGGCGTTAAGCTCTGCAGCGCAGGAACAGTGGCTGAGGTTGGCCCAGCTGTCATCTTTAGCTGGTGCATGAGAACCTTTAGTTCCACCTGCTAGTACACTAAAGACCTTTTTCTCCTTTCACATCTTTTTTCTTCTTTTCCTTAGTTGTTGTCTCTAGATCTCAATGTCTTGAATAAATTAATAAGATGCAAAGAGGTAATTCTACAAGTGGAAGGAAAGGCAAGGAGGTGACAGTGAGCAAGAAACAAGTCAACTTGGTAGATTACCTTTATTATGGAGTTTCAGAATGGAGACAAGTGATGAAGGGTCTTGCCAGTTAGGAAGACACCCTGATGGGGAACAAAAGAAGATTCTCGAGCAAAGCAAGTTGCCTTAATGAAAGCCACTATAAAGCTTCTCAGGTTGATTACACAAACTACCACCTAGAGTCGGAAAGGACAGAGGAGTGCTCTGGCAGAAACCTGAAGAAACTGTAAAGAATGAAAGGGACAGAGTTCTTTTGAGATTGTTCATTCATTCATTCATTCATTCATCCATCCGTCCATCCATCCATCCATTCTCTCACGAGGCATTGGGTATACGCCAATGGAAAATACAACAGCCGTTCTGCTGTCGTGACCACTTATTTTCTTTCTACCACGACTCCCTCACAGGGAGCAGGAGCTCCAGACCACAAGATACCCTGTTTCTTCCACCTGCTCTGTGCTCGGCACATGGTAGGTAGGCGAGGGCAAATCCTGCAACCTGAATTGACCACCGGCCTTGCAGTTTGGAAACCAAATGCACAGAGCCAGGAAGAAAAAGCAGGATGCCATCGATCTAGCCTGCAAGACCAGGCTCTTGAAATGAGCGCATGTGTGCGTCTCTGTGTGCAGCGGGGGGCGTATCTGCCCACAGCGCCTGGCGGCGTGCCAAGCTGCAGCACCAAAGCTCGTCTTTCCTGCGTGTTCCAGCCAGTCCGGGCGGTGACAGGGCGCGGAAGGGACCCGCGCAGCCTCGTGTCCGCCCGCAGGCCCGCCCGGCTCCTCCTCGCCGCGGGTGGAGCTGCCCTCGGTGCCGCCCCTCGGCCGCTCCGGGAAGCCCACAGCGCGGGCGGCTGGCGAGCCAAGGCGGCGGGTGGAGCTCGCGCCGCGCGCGGCCAATCGCTCCGCGTCGGGGGAGGAGTCCTAAAGGGGGAAAAAGAAAGTGCGGCGGAAAGTAAGACGCTCACTGGGGAAGACTGGCGGGATCAGGGTCTCCCAGGCTCCACTTTGGCAAGACGCACGGAGAGGAGAACGCGCGTGGCGACCCTCTAGCTGCCCCCGCGGCTCTCGCTGCGTCCTCGCTGACTCGCAGGAAAGGTGAGTCTCACGCTGCCATGCGGACTCGGGGAATCAGCGAGCCACAGAATCTCAGGGTCGAAGGATTCCTACAGGCATAGCTCAACCCTCTTATTGCCCAGAAGGGCAAACTGAGGCACAGGAGGAGACAGAGGTGGTGGTGGGCCACGTAGCTCGTGAGTGTTGTAGCCAGGACTCGAACCCAACTGTCCAGAGCTTCATCCTGGTTTTGTGGGCATTTAAAGTAACGCAGTTGTGGGTTGGCTGCGCGGTGCTGCACCCCGCTCCTAGCCCTTTAAGGGCTCTGTCTTGGTAGAGCCCCGCGTTGGTTTCTCTGAGCGCTGCTGTGAGCCTTGAGGATAGAATAGGGCAGGCGTCCCTGCGTACCCACTGGATACCGCGTCGCCCCCAGCCTGGAGCTGTGACAACCTGGATAAAGGCTGCTTGCAGCTTAGCTCCTTCCTCTCCTGACCTGCTTTCCCAGAAAGAAGCCCCTGTGGAGGGTGTTGGTCAATTTCTTGGGGAGAGGTGGGGATCTTTGGGGCGCTGGTGACCTCCTATGGCACTCCTGGTTCTCTTTCCAACCTAGTTCTCTTTCCATCAGTCTCTTGGTGGACCTGTGTAGAATAGGATGGCCCCCTTTTAGCAACAGCTGACTCCATGGACCAGTCGCCCCTCTCACTTCTGAGTAATCTGAGTAAACAAGGAAGCTGAGTTAAAGAGAAATCTGCAACATAAAAGCAAACTTCTGATGTTTCCTGACCCGGTCTTGGGGCAGTCTTCCCTCAGCCTCCTGGTTGTGGAATTGTGAACCTCTGTGCCTCTGGAAGCTTTTTTGTGGCCCTTCTCCACAGATTCTTGAGTTAGCTAGTGACTGAGAAGGATTTTACCTGGTTTTAACTCCAGCTTTCTCTCATTTTAGCTGTGTGAACTTGGGCAAGTTATTCAATCTTTGTGATAATTCATTTTCCCCCCAGTTGGACATGGACATTATAATAGTCACAAGGAACTCTTAAGATAGTTGGGAGGATGAAATGGAATGATTCCAGTAACATGGTTAGCACAGTGCCTGGCCAGGTCGACATTATTGATGGCAACTATTGTAAATATCTTTTTATGGTAACCTTGGAGAGAGTGGGTTTTTCAGAAAGGTGATTTCAGACTACCTTATAGGGACATTTTATTTTAATCTGGAAATATTATGTTTTCTTCTTTGGGGTTTGAACCTCTTTTATAGTAAATGTTTTCTGAATGCTGTCTGCATGTGACTTTTATCATGAATGCTTGATTTGTAATATAGAATTAATGTTTTGCAGTGTTATCAATTCCTACTATTTTTTAGGCCAAGCCTCAGGTCTGTGAAACTCTGGTCCGAGACAATCTTTATTGGCAAAGAGGGTCTTGAATTTGATGAAAGCTGGGAAGATGAGAGGATGAGTTGAAGTTCCATTTTTGTTCAGACTATTTTATGTCTTTTATTCCTGCTGTCTTAGGTTAGCTAGCTTAGGAGAACACCAAAAATCTCGTGGTGATGCTGGCAAATTCATTCTCTTTTAGACACAAACTTCCCTTATTGAAACACAAACATTCACACACGCCCATACTAGTTTTCCTTTATTATTCATATTTTAAAATGAAATAACATTCTTTATATATCCCTAACCTGCTTGTGGCAATTGATTTTATTCTGATTGACTTCATACAGTGATTTACTACTATCTCCTGGCTGTGCTGTAAGTCCCCGAATTGAGCATCCGGCATTTAGAGTTGGCTGTCTCTTTCACAGTCCATTGCATTTGTGTGTGATATTGATGAGTGCAGGCGAGGGGGTGTGATGCATCTTGAGGGAAGGGACCAACTCGTTGGTGCCCCCTTAGGTACCTCCTGCACCAAGAATTTGCAGAGGATGGGCTTGCTTCCATCAGCCTGTTCCGTGTGCATGCATTGTGATGAGCTGGCCAGGATACATCTGAACGCGTGCCTGAAAGAACGGCACTTGTGTGGAAAAGGAATATGTTCAAAATAAGGTCAGAACAAGGGGATGGAAGGGATATTGAAAGCTAATGCCTTTAGATTCTGGTTCTCTAAAGAAAAGATACCCTGTTATACCTTTCCTCTTTATCCAGATTATTGGTTACCAAAACTATACATATGTGTATGTATGTATACCAAATGTTCTATATTTGGTTATACTGAGCAAGATATATATGAATGTGTTTGTATATATGTATATGATTGTGTGTGTGTGTGTATATATATATATATATATAAAAAACTTAAAATTTCTTAAGTGTATATATATCTATCTTCCTTATTACTTGCAGTAGCCCTGAGGGAAGGCATATTAATAGATGGAGTCCAAATTTTATGGTGGACTTTAAATTTCAGTCCTAATTCCTATGTAGCTGAATAATACTAAGCAATTTATTTCACCATTTAGAATTTCTGTTTTATCCAATTCAAAGTGGGGGCAGGGGGCAGTACTTAACCTCGAGGATCTTGTGAAGATTAGATTAAATGAAATAATGCAAAGTACACATAGGTGCTCATTAAATGATCTCTTAACTGGTGTCAGTGTATTGAGAAGGAAACTGAGTGAGACTCAAGAGAAATACAAGGTTGCCAGAGGTCATGTCTTTAGTAAGTTTCAGTCCTGAAAACACAGTTCACACCTTTTGACTTTTAGTTGAGAACTTTCCCCTTCACACCCTGTTGCTTCTCGAAAGGAATGGTTAACAGTTACTTCAGTTGCTAGATTGAACTTATTTTGCTGGTGATTGCAGGATATCCTTTCTGTCCCAAAAAGGGTACTTCCTTGCTGAGGGAACAATCCTTAAACATGCTGTGTGGAGTTTAATAGGGTCAACTCACAGGATGAGCAGGAGTTTCAAAACAAAGATTGCAAGGGTAGCCTTTTTACTTTCCTGTGTTTGATGTGATGCACCTTGATTCCTAGCAGGGAGGGTATTATGAAGACACATTCAAAATTATGTCACATCTATCTTCCTGTTCTAAGTGTTTTTTTCCCTCTGCCCTCCTCATGCTAATTCACAGGTTGTAAGATATTGAGAAACAAATATCATTAGTGGCCATAGCATTTTTCACTTCCTTTGCCAAATCCATAGGTAGAGGATGGAATATAGAAAGCAGTATGAAGAGGCCTCATTTGCAGAAAAGACCAGCACTTGGTGGAGGTGCTGATCACTGGTCTGAAGTTTCTGTCCTCCCTGTGGAAACTGATGGCTGCAGGCTTATAAGAAAATGAACAGATCTGTCTCCAGTGCAGGCCATGGGACCATTTATCTGTTGAGACTCCCCACAGCCATCAGGTTTCTCTGCTTTGCAGCAGGCAGACAGGCTTACAAATGCAGTTCTGGGGGAAACATTTGCTCCTTGCTCTTGGCATTTGGGAACATATGTTTGCTTTTGCCAAAAGTTAGGCAGTAGCGTCATCTTACCTGACACAGTTCAAAAAGCAGAATGTGGCTGGAGGAAATCAAAAGAGAAGGCAGAAGAAAAATAAGAAAGGATATCATCAACCTACACAGTTTCATCTGTTGCTCAACTTTGTCAGGCCTTTACAGGTGACACAGATGTGGGCTCTGGTGAATCACTGTTGGCTTGCCAGTGAATATTAAAGAGAGTCACCTATTGTGTTCTTTGTCCATTTTGGAAATAATTCTGTAAGGGAAGTAACAACTACAAAAAATAAGAAGGAAGATCATAGAACGTTTAACATCTGATACTGTGGGGAATTAATTCAGGCTAGGTGTTCATTAGCTCAGCTTTTTTTTTTTTTTTTTTTTTTTTTTTAATATGAGAATACCTGCTTTACTTTAATGGGGTTGTTGGGAGATTGCCTCCCAACCTCTCCTTATTCTGACTAGTTCTAGCAGCTGTGATAATGAGGAGTTTGAGATCAATCTGGCAGGTACCTGAGGCAAATTATTGTGTTGTGATGAGCCTCTTTAGTGAGAAAACAGGAACACTGATGCCTCCTTAGAAGCTCGAGGCCCTCTCTCAGCACCTCATTCATAGAAGACAGTTGAGTAAAAATCAGACCATTCTTCTGGCATTAGTATATCAATCGGTTACATTGTAAAACCAAAATTTAATAGCTACCCTTTACTGAAAACTGTTGTGGTTTATACATATATCATCTCATTCAATTGTTAAGGGGATCCTGTGTGTTATTTAAGGCAACTGAGGCACAATAAAGTTAAATAGAATGACCTATGTCACAAAACACAAAGAGAGTATTAATGTTGAGACTCATCCATGCATTTCATTTTAGACCTAGGAAAGACTTTAAATTGCACAGCCTCTGGACTAGAACTGACGACTAGGGTGAGAACCCACATCCCACCCAATCCCCATCCTGCCATTCAGATCCTGCTATTTGAGAAGTCTCTGTCTTTGAACCTAAAATGTATACATCTGAACAAGTGATCACTAATGTTCTTCTGCTACAATACATTGTTATTTTTCTTTCAAATTCCTTTCCACCCTGAAATTATATTGTCATATTTCTTTGCAAAAGTCAAGGCTAAAAGGGGGAAGCGGAATAAAGAGAAAATACCCTTATTGTTTAATGTCAGGAGATCTATTTCCCGGTCAAACAGAGGAGGGCAAAGGAAATCAGCATTCATTGGTGCATGTATTTCTGTCATTTCGTTTAAGCAGAAAAGAATTCTCAGATGTATATTATTGTCTGCCTTTTACAGATGAAAGACCGAGGCTCAGGGAAACTTAAAGACTTGCCCAAGGTTATCCAATTAGTAAAAGATAGAACCAGTGTGTGTTCCTGAGCTCAAAGATTTTGGCTCTTTATGTCAAGTATACTAGCTGCCACACTACAAATTCTGAAGATGTGTAACTGGGCTTATAAATACCTCTTCCCTGTAGCCTCATACTACATCACCTTCCCTGCTACTTCCTTTCCTCCCCTTTCCTTCCCACATGTTTCTCAAATCTTCTCTTGATTCATCCCAGTGCAAGAGACTCCTTTAAAGGTTTATAAT